TTCCAGGCCACAAGGGCATTTTAGGCAACGAAATAGCTGATGAGATTGCCAAAAGTGCCATCCGTCTTGCTAGCGAACCAGTACGGGAAATACAAAAGTCACTAAAAACGATCTACAATGAAATTTCCGAAAGAGCTGGGTGCCGGATCAGGGGGAGATGGAACGCATTAGCGACATGCAAAACCACCAAGATCATGTGCAATAGCAGCAAAGGAAACACCCATTTCTTGCTTACACGGTCACGTAGGGATCAGAATTTTCGAATTCAACCAGATGCTCTGTATCTATGGAGCGACTCCGAAATTGTGCTGGAGTGGCTGAGGGCTCATCCATCAACCTGGACAACTTTCGTCGCTAACAGGGTAGCCTTGATACAAGATGCAACTAAATCAGGAATTTGGAGACATGTTCCTTGTCGGCAAAATCCAGCTGACGTTATATCCAGAGGTGCGTATGTTGATGAGCTACTAACATCTTTTTGGTTTGCAGGGCCAGCCTTCTTACTGAAACCATGCGACCAATGGCCTGCCAACAAGTTGTGTAGCGTACCCGAGGAAGACGTAGAAGAACGCCGTAAGCAGACGACGACGCTGGCGGCCGAAGTAAAGAAAAATTCCTTTATCGAGTGGCTTGAAGGGAGAAGTGATTACGTCCGAACACAAAAACGAGTGGCGCATTTTCTTTGTATTTTTCGGCGAATAAAGGGTCGCCACGACAAACTTCCGCCTCTCACAACAACAATGCTGGATGAAGCGTTGATTCGCATAGCGTTCTGCCTACAAAAACACTACTTTAACAACGAGTACAATGCACTAAAGCGCGACGGTGTGGTGCCGTCAACGAGTAAGGTGAAGTGCTTGAGCGTTTTTATTGAGAGCTGCTATGGAGTGGATATACTGCGTGTGGGTGGTCGCTTGAAAAACGCAAAGTTGCCGTACGATGAAAAGCATCCGATTTTGCTACCTGGAGAGAGTAACTTCGTTCGCAGTTACATACGCTATGTGCACGAAAAGCATATGCACGTAGGAACGCAAGCCTTGATGGCGATAATGCGACAACGATTTTGGATTGTAAATGCTCGAAAGGTGGTGCGCTCGTAACGACTAGATGCTTGCAGTGCTTTCGCTGCCGACCGAGGCTTCAGAAGCAGATCATGGGTAATTTGCCGTTTACAACTGCTGGTGTGGACTTTTGTGGTCCGATTATGACGACGTACAAACAAAGAGGAATGCGCACTACAAAAAGCTATATCGCCGTCTTCGTATGTTTCGCGACGAAGGCCGTGCATATGGAGGTGGTTTCTGATCTGACGGCAAAGGCATTCATTGCAGCGCTTAAAAGATTTGTCGCTCGCAGGGGTAAATGCGCACAGCTTTTCTGTGACAACGGCACAAATTTTGTTGGTGCCCGT